TTTGTCCTGCTCTTCTTTTTCTAGAAGCTTGAGGTTTGGCATAGGGTTGTTTAATTGGGCTCACTCTATTTTCCTAATATGTGTATTCACTGCTATGAATTACCCTCATAAGACTGCTTTCATTGTGTCCCATGTATTGACATTGTCATTTAATTGCACGAACTGTCTGATTTCTTCTGTAATTTCCTCTGTGACCCATTGGTTATTCAGAAGTGTGTTGCTCAATATCCATGTGTTTATGAAGCTTTTGCAGTTTCATTTGCTATTGATCTCCAATTTCATCACACTATGGTCTGATAATATACAGGGGATAACTTAAATTCCTTTGCACTTACTTAAACATGTTCTATGAGCGAGTATGTGGTCTATTTTGGAGAAAGACCCATGTGCAGCTGAAAAGAATGTGTATTCTGATTTTTTTGTAAGACATGTGAAAAATAGTGATTTCTTTGAAGTTATCAGTCATATATTAAAGTATATGATACAAGAAAAAAGGGGAAACTATTGATATGAGGAGTAAGGGATACAGTCAACTCTATATCAATTGTTTTAAACACAAAATATGTTCCAATACAATTGATATACTAAGGATCAATTTGAATCTAACTGAATTTCACATTTACCTATGTACAATTTCATCCACTATAAATGCTGATTGAATGCAGTATAAAAAGGTAAAATTATAAGAAATTAAAGATCTGATTTTTATTTGTGATTCTTAAATTGGGAAACATCTCAATGGAATAAATGTTCCAATGAGCTGAGCAGAAGAGATTGTGGCTTTATAGACAGAAAATGTCTAAAGAAAGCAGAAACAGAACTAATAGTACACTGGTTGTTTCAAAGTTCTTTTCCTAAAGAGTTAAACGGAAGGAATTTTCTTATTATCCTGACTCAAGTTGACTGTAATTTATTTTCTGAAAAACTGTCCCATTGTAAAGATCAGTTTGATTTCATGGCACTTAGCACAAGTGACTCCATTCTGATTTCTTCAGTCTTCTGAGGCTTAAGGCAGGAGGCTAGTCCAAAATAAGGGTTTCTCATAGACTTTTTCCAACATAGCAAATTGTTCAAGCTAAAATTGAGCTGCACAGAAATACACTAATGGCACACACACACACACACACACCAAACATCTTAGTTCATTTTATGACACTCTGTCTGATTTCAAATAAAAATCTTCCTCACACTTGAAGAAAAGAAATGGAAAGTTTCCCCAACCTTCATAAATTCATAGTTGGAACAGACTTCCATAACAAAAGACAGATTCACAAGAGAAAAATAAGCAAAGTTATCAACACATATCATTGCTTTCATGCAAGAGAAGAACAACTCTCTCAAAACAGTGGCTTGGAAGTCTATCTTAAATGGTGTTTTAATGCTATTAGGAACAATAAATCTTTGAGAAATGATAAGACAATGGAGAGAGCAGTTCCAGTCTCTCAAAGGGAGAAAATCTGAGGGAAGGTACCTACGTAGGAGA